ACATTCTCAGTCATCCAGGTCATAGTTGTTCCAAAACTGGACTTTTTTTCTTGAAGATGTTTTGCTTTTCACCAAATGCCTTAAACGTACCTGTCTAGATAAAGACCTACCACCTAGCTGGCAATTGCCCTGCCTGCTGTTCACAAAGAAGAAGCATACAGAGAGAGACTCATATCATCAATATCTAGACCAGAGGTCTCCAACCTTGGCAACTTTAAGCCTGGCAGGCTCCAACTCACAGAATTCTGGGAGTTGAAGTCTGCCAGGCTTAAAGTTGCCAAGATTGGAAACCCCTGATCTACACAACACCCTTTCTGTGGCCTACAACAGCTCAGCAGAGATTAAAATCCAGGAAAAGCTTCCTTAGGCTGACAGAAGACTTTGAAGAACTTGAAAGCAGAGTGGATCTACGGAAAGCTACAAACACTGGATGGAATCAGTGGAGGAGCTGGCACCTGGGTCTGATGAAAGCTGGGAAGTATGGAAATCATTGAGTAGATTGTGCGCGGGTACAAGAAGATTCAGAGACACTCTGAACAAATGGTGCCATCTGGTTGCTTCTGATCTTTGTGATTGTGGTGCAGACAACAACACATATGTATACCTGCCCTTTCGCAGCACGACAGAATGCAATGAATGTTGCTAATTTCTGGGTAAGATCTGTTTAATTTGTACATATTTTCATTTTATATTTTAAGTTTTATGTCATATAGTATATGCCTTATTTTAATTGTGATGCTTCTGACAGGAATAAACAAACAAACCTGTACTGCTTAACAATAGATTTTCAAGTCCCAATTAGCACTGAAGCGTATCTGTACTGTATCATTTGAATGGTCTGACCATCTCAATGCTTTGCTGTTTCCTTGATACTAATTAGTACAGGTTGGATGAATCCACCTGGTAGTTAGATATTTCCTCCCTTCATTTTATTAGCTTCTAGATTCCACCCAAAAATACTTATTAGATAAAATGGATACACTTAACAACTGCAGCATTGGCTTAATGGCCAACACAAAAATGATTGGAAAATCAGACAGAGTCACATGGTGACTCCCTTAATGACTGCAATGATTTAGGACTATAATTCCTGGCTCAATTACAGTCATACATTGAGGATTACCAATGTTGAAAATAAAACTAAGGGTGAAGAGCATGTCACTTACCATACGAGAGCTTTGCTTCCATGTGTTTGGCCAATGCTTCCACTATACTATGTGCTGTTGGAACAGGTTCGTCTCCAAGTAACCCCAACCTGAAAGGCAGATAAAAACAGGTAATGCTAAGAACAATAAGAAGACTTTTGCCCTCAGAAAAGGGGGCAAGCTCCAGAGGCCCTCTAGAAGCCAGAAACGTTTCCGGCCCTCTGGAGCCTCTGGGAGGTCCGTTTTTTTTTTTTTGCCCTCCCCGAGCCTCCACACAGGCCCTGTACTTACCTGGCGCCCAAACCGGGCCACGTGGAGACTCCTGGGAGGGGAGGGGAGGGGGTGGGAAGGGCCAGCTAGGGGTGGGATTGACCAGTTCACTGAACTACTTTATCATTAAAAATGATCAAATTAGCTACTGATTTGCCCCTGGACTGATTTACCCCTGGACTGAGGACTCTAGTATCTACATCTCCAATTTATTCTGTAAACTATAACGGTGGGGCTGTCTTCACCCCCTTTCTCACTCACATAAAATCAAGGTTGGGTTGCCTCTGGAATGCACCCCTCCCGCCTACATTCCCTCACAGTCATAAAATTTTGTGACTTCAGTAATGCATTCTATATTGTGCTTTATTCACCAAAATCAGAATATTGCTGATATTTTTAGTTCGAGACTTGTCTTTTGCTCTCTCTATAATTAATCTCACTTTTGTCCTAAACATTATTTCACTCGGTTTACCGTTACTTGAGGGCTGGCAGCTAAAAAAAAGAACACCAATAAATTAACCTCTGCCAGTAATCTTGCAAGCACATCCAAGTACTGATTTTATTCACTGAGCTAAACAAACATGACTTATACATATTTCAAAGAAAAACAGTATAGAAGTCCAGTATAGGAAATATCTGAATGCTAGAAGTGGAGAAAAAAAGAGGAAATCCTAAAATTTTTATCATACCATTCCACTGCTTCCAACTGTTTTTTGTTCTCGTTCAGCTGTTTGCAGACAGCCTGTTGGAGTTTATCATATTTGACAGAAGGCTGAAGTCCAAGTAACTTACACATTAGCTCTTTCTAAACACAAAGAAAGATAAATGATTGGCATTCTGAAAAATGGGTAACATTATCAAGATTTGTTAATACAGGAAAATTGAGAATTTGAAATCATGAGAACAAAATGGCCATAAAACAGGGGTGGCATCTCTGACATGTAGACTCCCAGAATTCTTCAGCCAGCATGTTGGCTTAGGAATTCTGGGAGCTGAAGTCCACAGGTGGTAAAGGGGCCATAGTTAGGGCCAGCCCTGCCATAGAAGGATTTGTTTTTCAATGGTTTTCATATGCATAACTAAGGAAGAAGTTGAATATAGATAAAGAAACTACCAGGTATATAGAACATGATGAACATATAATTGCTAAAATGTATAATTGACTGATTTGAAATGGAAGATCAATGAGTTAAAGAGTGCATGATAACAAGAGCTAAGAACATATTACAACAAACAGATAGGTCAATGGGAAAGAATGTGGTTAACAGAAATGAAATTTATACTGTCTTATAATAATAATTTAAGAAGGATATATTGTAGGTATATATCACTGAAGAGATTTTCTGACACATATCACTAACTTGTTGGAAACATCAAGAACATGAAGGGGCATTTTACCATATTTGGTAGACTTGTGAAAAAGTCTTTTAAAAAAAGACTTATATACATATAATTTATAGATAGATAGATAGATAGATAGATAGATGATAGATAGATAGATATAGATATATATTATATACATATATACATACATATGCAGAGAATTTTAAAAATTAATATTCAGCTAAAACCTTTTCCTAATAGGATTTAAGGACAGACAAGAGAAATAGAAGACAAATGCAACAAGGCTGCTATATGCACAAAGATGGAAAAATCCACAATGGAAGATTGTATCAGGAAGATGGCAGAATGTGTAGAAATGGCTAAATTGACTTATTTGACTAGGGAAGGAGCAATATAACTTACTTTTATAAAAGACTAGAAACCCTTTGTTAAGTTTTTTCTGAAAATAGATGCACTGGTGATTTTTTTTAATTTTTCTGTAATTTTAACTTTGTAAAAAAAATATTCAATAAAAATCATAAAAGGCTGGTAGACACCAAAGATTGGGCCTTTTGAATGATGGCCCCTCTACCCAGAATCCCCGAGAGAAAATGATTTTACAGGTTTGCTCTTATTTACACTAATTTAAAACAATACATTTTTGTAAACTTACTAAATTTACAGGAGCTAATTGATTATCATACCAACCTCAGTTCTATTTCTCTCATTTGGAACGGGTATACCCTGTTTCTCCAACAATACGGCTTCCCCCAATAGGAAGTCCCAGCATGTTTTATAGGCATGAAATGAAATTAAGCCCCTCCCCCCAAATTAAGGCCTATATTAAAATATGCGAAATGGGGGGGAATGGTGGGGGGGCTTGCCATTAGGAAGTACTTTTGTTGCACACCCGGATATGGTGCTGCCTGCGTTGACCCCGATACGAAGTGCCCCACCAACGCCGAGGTCAACATCCAAGCCGTCGCCCCCCGCCCGAAGATGCAAGGGGGGGGGAATTAAGTCACCCCCGAAAAGACGGCCTAGCCATTTTTTCGGGGCTCAAAAAAAAATAAGACCCGGCCTTATTATATGAGAAACACGGTACTTACCCATTTTACAGGAGGTGTAGTTGCACTAAGCATAGGGCATGGTTCTGGATTTATTAGTCCCAATTTCACAAAACCTTCTATAGCTTTACAGTAACCCTGGAAAAGACAAAGGGAAAGGATTAGGAAATGACACAAATCTTCAGACCTGCTAACCGTAGAAGCATGAAAGCAGCTCATGACAATATTGACTCCATTCCCTTGGCTTGTCAGAAGCCAGTTGGGAAGGTCACAAATGGTAATTGGATGGCCCTGGGACACTGCAACCAGTTACATGCCAATTGTCAAGAGCCTGAATTTCAATTACATGACCATGGGGAAACTGCAACGGTCATAATTGTGAGGACCACCCATAACTCACTTTTTTCAGTGCGGTTGTAATTTTGAACAGTCCCTAAACAAATGGTTGCAAGTTGTGGATTATCTATGCATAAAGCAGGGGCTATTTTGAAAAGCCTCCTGTTCCAGAATTAAAAACCAGAAAGCAACTGACTAATCTTTTAATTGGTACAGACATACAGTACATACTTCAGCTCTCTAACCCAGGTATGCATTACAAACCACAATGATGCAAAAAACAATGAGATCTGCATGAAGATATCACAACACAAAAGCCCAGACTTTCATCCTTTTGTTCCATATCCCATGCAAATACATAATCCACGTGGTTTGAGTCATGACATCCATTTTCTCATCCCCACCTCCTGTGGGCGCCCATGCTCTCTCTATAATCAATCACACATCTATGATGCCAAATGTACCTACCGTGTACCTTAAAGTTCCTCTTAAAAGAGTGTGAGCTGATTGAATACCGTAGGGTTCAGCGTATTTTGTACTGTCCCTGTTTGGAAAACCTTCCAAATTTAATCCTGGGAAAAAATCCATGACAGTAACAGAATCAAGCAAAGCTCCTCCGGCTGGGATATTAATAATCTAAGGATTATGAAAAATAACGATCATGTAAGTCAATTATATTTGAGGACAGGGCCCACCAAACCTGTAAGCTCCTCTTTACAAATGCCTGTCTCCCACAATTATGAATGTTGGGCATCTCTCCCAAATCTTATTTATGGCCACTTTCTTTCCGGTCCCTACTTGGTCCTCTGTTCTTTCACAAGACCTTCAGTGTGCTCCATGACAGACCTAACCTGCATTTCCTTTAACAGAAACTTTCTTAAGGCAAGTTTTGACATTGCCTCAAATCTTACTGATTCATGCCCTAAAAGTCTAGGCTACTAACATAATCTCATGTTTAAGTCTTTTGAAGTAACAAAAGTTATTATTATGCCAAATTGTTTGTTCCTCTTCAAATTTGTCCCAATGGGTGCGGCTGAATTCAAAGCAGGTTTAATTCAGAATTAGGAGAAAGTGGGTGCTCCCCTTCCTCGCTGGCAGCTGATCAATGTTTTGCTTTCCTTTAAAACAGTCTCCATGCCAATTAGAGCAACAGGAAGACTCTTCTTGATCTCTTATTATTTATCAAATTTATCTCCCCCATAGAGCAATTTCTTCCTTGATCACCTAACCACATAACAGTTTAGGTGACCATTGTATTGTCCATTGATTCTTCTAAAAGGAAGGAACAAAACAATTTAGTTAATAGAACAGGTGATTGACAGCTAAGGCTAGATTATCTTTAGCCATGGGTGACATGAGAAAGACAACTTTGGAAAAGGGTAGTGATACGAAAATGGCCATGCTTGAATTGCCTCAGTGATATCTGCCCCTGCCTAACTGAAAATCAAAATGTCCAATTAAGGGAACATACTACCATACATGGTAGTCTTGTAAGAAACCCCAGGAGTTTTTGCATAAGATCCAGGTGTGGTTAGAGGAGATGATTGGACAGAAAATAGATTATAAGCTGGAATTATTTTTACCTGGAATTATGGCAAACAGATATAGTAAGAGGAGATTTATCTAATAGTACACATTATCACGGCAGCAAGAATGAATTTTGCCCAAAAATGGAAAGATAAATTCCTGACGAAGGTGAGGTGATAAAAAAGATATTGATTTGTGCTGAAATTGATAGATTTGACTCTGGAATTAAAAAAATAAGGATGAAACAGAATACTATAAGATATGGAATAAATTTTATCAATGGTGGGAAAAGAAAGGAAGGACCCAAAATAAAAAGTAGGATTTGTAGAATGGGTAATTACGGATAGAAACGAATTGTACAAATGTATAAATGTATATAAAATATGTATAACTTGTATATAATATGTATAACAAGAAGAAATGTCAGGACTATCAGACCATATCCAATGTTTTAATAATTTAATGAACAAAATATGTTTTAAAAAAAGAAAAGAAAAATAATATAATGTTCCATTAAGAACTAACTTTGTTCACTTCAGAAGAGTCTTCAAAACTCCTCAACCTGATATACATATTAGTCATCTTTTCATTTTAACATATATATGTATACACATGGAAACCAGAGTGGTCAAAATTACCAAGCTATAGAAACTAGGAGTTCTGGTCCTGCCTTAGGTATGAAGCCAGCTGGGTGACTTTTGGCCAGTCACTTTCTTCCAGTTCCAGGAGAAAGGCAGTGGCAGATCATTTGTGAAAATGTTATGAGAAAGGCATTGACTTGAAAGCACTCACACATGCAAACAAATGTATATGCTTTTAAAGAGAAATTACGTCACCTCTCCATCTTTTAAATAGGTTGCAGATTTCACTGTATTGAGTAGGACTCCCTGTGGACTCCAGCTAAATTTATATCTCAGGGGGTTGTCAGAATATTCAGGAGCAGGCAAGCCTCCACAGAAGGAAGTGTAGGAAATCACCTGGAGTTGATGAAAATAAAGTTCTCAATTTAAATTCAGTTAAGTTTATCCCATAGAGATTCCTGAATTTATTTAACACAGTCTAACTCTATATTTCGGATTAATCTAGCTTTGCAGTATGCCTGCAGAAAGGCATCTAAGACATCTAATTTCTAAAGTTTTCTTTAGAAATTCATTCATTCAACTTTTATAATGTCTAGTAACAAAAAGAGAATTAAAAATTAAAGAGTCAGGATCTTCTTATTCCTATCGACCCTGTGCATTCTAAGCACAAACAAATCACAAAGTGAGTTCACTGCAGTCCCATAGCTATCGATGAGCTTCGGAAAAAGAAATGGCATGAACGGGGTTCTACTTCACGCCCCTCTGAAAATGATGGGATGTATTATAAATTTATTAAAATTACAGCAGCCGCATGTTATTGGCTTCTGCAGGACTTCACCTGCTCCTCAGACTAGGGACTTCACTCAGATGAAATTCAAAACAAAAGATTCATCGGAATTTGTCTTTTCCATTTTGTCTTTGCGTGCGGTAGAACCTGATGCTTCATAGAAAAAGCAAAGGAAAAAGGAAAGCTTTCTATTTTTTTTCTGAGGAGGAAGAGGAGGATAACGACAAAACGGGGACAAGGAGGAATGACATGGATTCTTTTTTCAGTCGAGCTTACCTCAGCCCCCACTTCTTTTGCTTTGTCGATACATTCCATTGCCAACATATGATCGAGGCCAGGATCCAAACCGACTTCGCTGATAATGGCAATGCCAGCTGCCTCTGCACTATAATACAAGGAAAGCTGTCAGGTGAAAGGCAACAGCAAACTACAGCACGGGTTTCAAACTCACGGTGTCATGTTGCCGTCATGTGATGTATTGCAATGTTTTTTCCGTTCGCACAGCTGGGGTGGGCATGGCCTGTGCATGACACATCCGGTCTGCGGGACCCCAGTTTGACACTGCTATGCTAGATAGCCAGGAAGCCTTTGACTTAAAACCTTTTGTTTAGTGACCTTTTGAGGGTACAACAGCACTGAAGAAGAGCCTTGGAACCATTTTTCACACTTGACACCCTTGTAGCATCCACATGATCAAGTGATCCAAATGTGGGTGCTTGGCAACTGGTTCATATTAGGACGGTTGCCGTGTCCCTGGGTCATGCGATCGATCACCTTTTGCAACCTTCTGACAAGCCAAGTCAATGAGAAGACTAGATTCACTTAACAACCACGTTGCTAATTTAACAGCTGCAGGGATTGCCTTAACGACTGTGGCAAGAAAGATCCTAAAGGGGGGCAAAACTTACTTGTCTCGCTTAGCCACAGAAATTTTGGGTTCAATTGGGGTTATAAGTCAAGGACTACCTATATTCCACTGTTAATTGAACTCAGTAGCTCCCAAACCATCCTCTAACACAGGGCTTTTCAACCTTGCAATTGTCAAGAAGTGGGGTACACACAATTAATTGTATTTCAAGTTGTTTTCAAATAGCGCTGCAATGAGTTGAATGGGCCACACTTGATTCCTTCAGGGAGTACGCTATACTGGTACACATGTGTTTTCTACATATAAGCAATTATCTGGAAAACCAAGTTTTTAACTTAAATGATTTTCCTTCAAACAAAGGTAACAACTTTCGACTCCAGGTCATAGCTAGTCTTTGATCTTCTTTCTTTCTTTCTTTCTTTCTTTCTTTCTTTCTTTCTTTCTTTC